GTTGCACCATTCAGGACCAGGTCAAATCCACCCTCTCCGAAACCTGATCCGCCAACCAACAGGACCTCCGTCTTGTCTGGGTTGAGTTTCAGTTTATTGGCCCTCATCCATTCCGTTACCTCGGCCAAGCACCGGTTCAGCACAGCCACTGCCTCACCTGGATTAGTGGTTCAGTTAAAAGTTCAGAAACGTAGTTTGGATCCTAAAATGTGCTAATAGACTGCTTTCTACCACAGTTCTCTACATTCCCTAAATTTGGCAGGAGGCACCATCTGGAAAAGTATGGAATGTTGTGAGGCCTGCAGCAGGAGTGAACAATTGGCAGACATTGGGGAGGTGGTCCCATGCATAAGTGGGAGTGTTTTTTGCTCCCATTAGTGTGCCCTTGGATCCAGGCCAAAGTTTTTATTTTTAAACTTCCCAGAAGAAAACTTTAGCATACTTCTACAAGGGATAGGAAATGGGCTCTGCAAAGGGATCTACAAAGCTATGTACAGTAGATACAGTTCCTTCAAGGAAAAGGAGCTATGCTTTGACAAGAGCATAGGATACTTTTTGCAGCACTGGGATGTTAGTGCCTGGAGCTGGTTAGCCTTCTTTTGATGGTATGATCGTCATCTTCCCAGCCAGGGTTAATCATTCTTGCATCTTCCCTTGATTGTGTTTGACTCCGGAGGCCTTAGAGCATTTTTTTCTTTCTTCACCATTTGCTTTCCAATGGCATTACTAATGGCTGATCATGTGCACTTCCCTGGAATGGCCAAGACATTGCCCGTTTGTGAGATTTCATCTGTCCTCATTGCTGAGCTCAGTATAAGAAGCCGCTGTTGTCACTCTGCTAGTTACAACTATTTCTGCTTCAGTTTTCTGCAACTATTTCTGCAACTGAAATTTTTAGTTCTGCGTTTGGGTTGCATGCCTTTCTTGTGGTTCCCTTGATGTTGGAAGGATGTGGGGCAGTAGCCCAGAATGTTCAAGGCCAAGAGAACCTAAGAATAAGCAAAGGGAAGATAAAAGACCTAAGGGTATTCCCTCCTCCCTTGAGTGCTTCCCTGTGTACTAGGATTCCTTGTCTAATGAATCTAATTCCACTACATGGTATTTATCCACTGTGCCCTTTCTGCCCTTTGGTTTAAAACTTGCTCTGTTTTGAAGGTAGCTTCAGATGCTTAATTCTCAGATGCCAGCCTTTTACCCTGTTTTTGTTTATAGGGCACCCTGGCACAAGCAGTGAAGAAAGGCGAATGGATTTTGCTAGATGAGATTAACTTGGCTGCTTCAGAGACTTTAGAATGTCTGAGTGGTTTACTTGAAGGACTGTCTGGCTCACTTGTGTTGTTGGATAGAGGAGACACAGGTATTTATTTATTTATTTATTTATTTATTTATTATGGTTTTTATGCTTGGCAACAGTGTATTACAAGCTCCTATTTAAAGAAAAAGTGCACTAATGATTCTTCTCAACTGCAGTATAATTAAAGTGAAGGTAAAGGTTGGTTCTGGATTATTGGATGTTTAATATGCAATTTAAGATTCTCACATCAGTGATGTGAAGGGTTCTACAAGAACTTTATGAGGAAGCCACTTGCTAAGGGTCCCTTGAGGTGGGAATAGGAGAAGAGAGAATTCCTCAGTGGTCCTACCCCTATCCAGAAGCATTCTTGTACTCAAAAGCCCTGCTGTATCAGAGGAATAAGTTTGTGACCTACAAAAAGTGACAGTAGATTGACCTGGAAAGAGAAGGGAGAAAGGGAAGGTGGAAGTCCATCTTAGTAATGCTAAAATATTTTAGTTTGATCAGGTAAAAGATCTAACAAGATTTTGGAGAGATTGCAGTGAAAATTAATAGTGCATAGGAGGCAGAGAGAGGGAGAGGGAGAATAAGGGGCTGTCTTGGGATTACTTGCTACCATAGTTAATTCTGGTTTTCTGAGGATTATGGGACTGAAATTGGTTGGCTGTGTTGTTTCCCTTTAGAGCCATTGATACGGCATCCAAATTTTCGTTTGTTTGCCTGTATGAACCCAGCAACTGATGTTGGAAAAAGAAATCTACCTCCAGGAATACGGAACAGGTAGAAACAGAATTAACAGTTTTATGAAGTTGAAATGCAGTTGTTCCTCTGGGAGATTGATGGCAGCAGTTAAGATTAACGTGTTTGCTTCAGTTTATCTTGCTTACATAACATATAAATATTCCTCCAGAACATTATTAATAGAAACATTCTTCCAAAAGATGATGTCATCATTGTATATTTCTAGACTCCAGGTTAAAAAAATTGTTACGGTTTTAATTGTTTGATCTCATTTGTATAGGAATGTATTTTGCTGGATTTTAGTGTTGTATTTTATGTTTGTACATCATCCTAGAACCACCTTTTCGGGTGAAGACACAGATGCTTTTATAAAACCATCTCTGATAGCTGTGTGCATCTTACTGTAGCTGAGCTACACTGGTGGCTAATATATGGTAAAACAGCTTCTGCTGTTGCTTTCAGGAATGAGTCCATTGTGCTGTTGCAGCTCTTTGGGAGCTACACTTCTTCTAAAGCATGTTTTGAGTCATCAACTTCATCATAGGACATTAGAATTATAAGGTGATCTCATGGGAAAGATAAAGGGAACATAATCTGCATTGCTCTGTCGGTCATCTTCTGAAAAGTCAGCATTACATATAAATGCAATGCAGCTAGGTAAAAGGTTGGTTGGGTATATGAGTGAATTTTATGCTCTCTTTGTTCCTTCATAGCCCATGCCTTCCAATTTAGCCAGGCAAGCAGGAGCTGTAAGAACTATACCATTGGTGATAGCTTGCCAAAGGTTTATTAAGCTCTAAATACTACACTTGCGCTTTAATTTCCCAACTGAGTACTTAGCAGATTTGACCTATAAAGAACCTGACATTAGTGTCAAATGTAAAATGTTTGCTTTAACTCTGCAAAATTCAAAATAATTCATTAGTAACATTTTTGCATTTTGCTGATGAAATTTCAGTATAATCTATTTTTGGCGTATAGGTAAGATCAGGGGTTGCAGCAAGGAGGCTGCAGGCACCAGTGTATCCCCAGGCACCTTTCTTGGGGCTTGACAAGGTGCCCTACCCTTTCCGCTTAAAAAGAAGCAGCAGCAAAAATATACATTATCTTACGAACAGCATAGTCCTGTTGGTATTGAAAACTATGTGCTCAATAGACCCCACCTCTGCCTTATACTCATCCTTCTAGGCAGATTAATTAAATTTAGTCACACCTCTCACGGTAGCCATTTGAGGATGCCCAGGACAATTTTTTTAACAGCATAAATCTGATGTTGATACTATCTCCCAGGGTGTTTGTTACAGAAATAAGATTGAGAGTAAGAGGAGGAGCATGATTGAAGCCGTTCTGAGTTCTTAAAAGAGGGAAAATGTGAGATATAAATCTAATAAATAGTGTTGACACAATTGGTGTTTATGTTGACTATTAGGACCGAATTCACTGGGCATAAGAAAATGTTGGACTTCTGGATAAGCAAATGAGTATTATATTGTAATGTCATCTTATAGGTTTACTGAACTTTATGTAGAAGAACTCCAAAATGAAGGAGACTTGCAGATTCTTATTATGGATTATCTGAAAGGGCTGAATGTGAGCAAAAACATAGTTCAGGGAATCATAAAGTAAGTCAATTTATATATTTTGATGAACAATTCATTAGACTATTACATAAATAAATAAATTATTAGATTTGACTATGCAGAGATTCTATGAATATTTGATAAGAGGCTCTATTTGGTAGAACAGCCACATATGTTTTGGTTAATGGTTCCTGTGTAAAAATTTGTTATGGCATTTGTCTGAGCATACTTGTAATATGCTACCTCTAAGCCCTTTTCTTTTGAATTTGTTCTTTCTGTCTTCATATTCAAGTTGGCCCTCTCTTGAGTTCATTCCAGTTCTGAAGAATTCATTTAAATGCAACTCTGGTCATATTATTTTTCATCTTTTTCTAAGTTAGTGCAAGATTAATTTCTTCATAGTTGCTCTCATCCCTTGATTCACTACATCTGTGACCTTTTTCCATTCTTCTTAAACCTCAGTACTTTAAGAAACCTGACTCAGAAGTTACTTTGTATTTTCACTTTGAAATCTAGGACTTAGCTAAATGTGGGCACTGTTTCCTATGCAGATCTGAAATAGGTAATTGACCTTAACAAAGATTAAAAAGTTCACTATGTTTTTTTGAAATTCTCTTCGTCTTCAATTAACACATGAGATGTAGTTTCAAAGCCTTTAAAAAAACTAATTATTCCTGAGGAAGAGTTACTCTCAGATGGTGTGCTCTGTTACTAACATTCTGTGGTTGGCATGGGATAAATGTGAGGGGATAAGCATTTGAGTAGTTTGGGGTTCTTGCCTATTCTTCATCCATTGTGTAGCACAAATAATGACTATAGCATTATTTAAAGTTGAGCAGAGATTATAGTTTACTACAGCCTTCCCCAGCTTGGTGTCCTCCAGATGATATTTGACCTCAGCTTCCATCCAGCTGGCATGATCAGTGGCTTGGAATGCTAGGAGTTGTACACAAAAATATCTGGAAAGCACCTCCTTGGGTAAATTTAGTTTACTGAATAAGCTGAGACGTATTGAATTCATCAAAGTGTGAAGTGAAACCTCATGGAATACTCTTCAGCCTTGTCAAGCTTGAAGGGGGTAATACTCTTTCAAGACAGTCACCTCTGTAGCACATCAGGTCCAGATAAATAAACTTAAAAAACAATTTGTTAACTTTTTACTTCTGTAGTTTCTATTTGTCTGTGAGAAATGAGTGTGAAACAAAACTGGTGGATGGGACAGGCCACAGACCTCATTACAGCCTCCGTACACTGTGCAGAGCTTTGAGATTTGCATCATGCAATCCATGCAACAACATACAGCGCTCTCTGTATGAGGTGACTATCCTTGTTTTCTGTATTTATACTTTTTAAAAAGGTGAATCTAGAACTTTCTGCACAGTTTTCTGATGGCAAAATGTCTGCTCTGAATCAAACACTATCTGTTTCCTTCCCAATAGGGCTTTTGCTTGGGCTTTCTCACACAGCTTGATAGGCATTCTTACCCAGTTGTTCAAAAGTTGATATGTCGATATATCCTGTCTGGGAACATGAAAAACATTCTCAAGCAGGCAAGTATTTTCTGTGTGTTTAAATAGTGGAATTGTTCTTAGTTGAGTTCTAGTTTAATCTTGCACTTCCTATTTGTCACATTTTGGATTTATTTGGAATCTCTTCATATCCTGATGCTTAATTCAGTCTAATGAATTGGCTTATCCCATATACTTTTGGGATGTCTTTGTGACTTTACATTATCTTCAAATTAGATAAAAGCCATGAACTGATTTGCTGGAAAATCCTGTTTATTTTAACCATAATGAACTCATCATATTAGATGAATTTTCATTGAGTTTATCATGTATGGCATTTAGATAATTCACTGTTACATATGTAGCTAGGTATGAGGAATTTGTAGTTTTGGTAGTTTGTCAGTCATTAAGTGAGATTATGTGTTGCCATTTTCCATACACAATTAGTCCTATAGATTGGTCTATATTTAATGTAATATCTGTACTCAACATCATGGAAAATTAATTGTAACCGGTCATTTTCAATCAGCTTTCCTCTCATAGAAAGTATAGAAACATTTTAAAAATTGTTTCTGTGTTGTCATGTTTGCATGCTATGGCTACTTTCAAACAATCCAGCCAGAAACCATAGTTTAGCTTGTTGAAACAAAAGAGATGTGTTAACCAGAGTTCTCCCACGAGTGTAGGAAGCCAGCTTACACTGGGGGAAGGTATCTCCCATGTTCTCCCATGGAAGCCTCCCCAGAGGGAGAGAGTACAGGAAACAGTGCTGCAACTCTTGTTCACCAAGCAGCAGAGGAAAGAATACCTGACCGTGCTCCACTCCAAGGCATAGTTGTTCTGCCACCCACTGGGAGCTCTTCCTGGTTGAAGTAATAGCAAGATGCACTCCAGATAAAGTTAGGACCCTCCCTAAATAAGATGTTGGAGTTCCAGTCCAGATTCACATAAGGACTATGACCCGAGAAAGCCAAGAAGGAGAGCAAGGGGTCTATCACCTTTTGTCTGTCCCTTGGATCCTGGTCCAGCAGGTCACCTTCTTCATAACCCCGCCCTCCAAATACCAAATACCAAAGAGGAGAATTTTCTGAAGAAGATTACCCAAGAGACAAGGGGTAGGTCCAAGGAAAGCCTCTTCTCTGCAGAGGCTATCTGCAGGCCAATGTTCAGTTCCCTTGATGTCTTGGAGCTTTTGGTCCAAGAGGATGCCTTATCAGTCTCACAAGAACAACCGAGAGAGCAAGAGTGATGGCAGCCTTCAAACATCTATCTATCTCTCTATCTATTTATTTATAAATAACATTTATATGCCGTCCTTCACTATTGTGTCTCAGGACAGCTTACAAGATTAAAACCAATAGTCATAAAAACAAACAATAAAACAGTACAATAAAATTACTGTAAACCAATACAGATAAATCAGATCAAAAGCGACTGTGAACCACTAAAAATGCCAATTTTTAAAATAACGATTAAATGAAAAGATTTTGGCCTGTCGCCGAAAAGAGTATAAACTTGGTGCCAGGCATACCTCTCTGGGGAGTACATTCCAGAGTCTGGGCACCACAGCAGAGAACATTGCCTCCCTCTCAACCCTGTTGCCATTGTCCTTCAAGCTGGAGGAAATCCTTCACAAAGAGTGGGAAAGTGCTGGCCAAGTATAGATCTTTTCACCACCCCATGATGAGGTTTCAACCCGAAGGTCAATGTTAACTGGCAGTCCAGAGAGGAGCCTACCCAGTGGCAGCCCTCTCTTCCACGTTCCTCCTGAGTGTCTCACAAACAGAACGGAGGTAGGGCATCTTCTTGGTCTTCATTGTCTCAAAATGTGTGGAATCCACCTTATACTGGATCTTTAAAAATGGTAAATTACTGAAGAAGCAGAAAGCCAGATGAAGACCTCAAATCTATAAGATACGGGTCATGGAAAGGTCTTCCTAGCTTTGCTGGACCTGACAGAAACATACCTGCACATCCTCATCCACCAAACCTATGAATGTTCCTGCACTCTGGCTATGGCAGGAGGCAGTGTAAGGTCAGGGCCCCTCCTGTTGGGTCTGGTCACCCATTGTTGGGTGAATGGGAGTTGCACTCAGTCCTGTGCTCTCTTCCTCTGGGTTGCTTAGGAGAGACCTCCCTCCTGTGGGGTTGCTTAGGAGAGACCTCCCTCAACACTAGCTGGCCTTCATCCTTCTAGGAAAGCAGATATTCACAGGTGGTGAAGAATTTCACTCTCAGTTAGGATGATAAGCCAAGGTTACCTAGAAGTTGTAGTGGAATGCTTCCTTTTGGCTATATGGGTAGATGAGGAAGTATTAGAGCATGTAGCTTATGTGAATACAGTAGTACCTCGGCTCATGAGCGCCTTGGTTCATGACCAGATTGGGTCGCAAACAAAAATTTCATGAAAATTTTTACTTGGGTTGCGAACTCCGCATTGGGTGGTGACCAAGATTGCAGCCATCTCCCCCCCCCCCCGAGTCGCGTTTGTGCAGGGAAGACATGTGTGATCGCAGCTGTGCTGTGCTGCGCCTGTGCCAGGATTTCTTTGAGAAGCACCACCCCAACATAGCTGTAACGAACAGAGCGTTGAATCTGATGAATGTTTACGTGGTCTCTCATTTCCGGAGGGTTATGCAGCGCACGAAAAAACAAGCGACTATAGACAGATTTTTCACCAAAATTGATCCTACAGCTAAGAGACAAAGAAGAGAGGAAACCCCTGAAAGAGATCTCCCCAGTGTCTTTATGGAGGGGGACTCTCCCTCAAAACAATAACCTCCCCGCTACCTAGGTTGGTGTTCTCCACTGTACTTTGTTAGTGTGTTGTTCTTTGTCACTTTGTTTCAAATTTTTCTGCTAAAAAAAAAAAAGTTACAGAACGTATTAACCTTATTCACATTGAACCTTATGGGGAAATTTGACTTGGCTCGCGACCAGAAATTGGCTCACAACCACATTCGGACAGGCCAGAACGGATTAACCTTATTTTCATTGAATCTTATGGGGAAATTTGACTTGGGTCACAACCAATTTGGGTCACAACCAGAGTCGCGGAACAGATTAAGTTCGTGAGCTAAGGTACCACTGTAGTCCTAAACCTTGGTTTAGAGTATTATACAAATGTAATCCTTAGGGTTGCTTAGGGGGTTGTGATGCCATGTGATAATTCAAGAGTTGGTTGCTTATGCTTATCATAAATCATTTTTCTCCTATCATGTAGCCCTTACCAGAACCTAAAGGTGGTAGAATGATAAAAGTAGAAGGATACTGGATTTCAGTTGGAGATAAAGAACCCACCGTTGATGAAGCTTATGTACTCACACCTTCAGTTAAACTTAATCTTAGAGATATTGTCAGAGTTGTATCTGCTGGGTATGTTAGACTTCAATTACAACTTTTTCAATTCTGTGAACATAGTTCTTCAATTAAAACTAGTTCTACATCTACTTGTTCTCATTCCTGAGTGCATACTTCCTTGTATTAATGTGCATCTTATTTCATTCATAATCTTACTTACATAAGTATTACCAGAAGAGAAATATTAAATCAAACAGTATGGGTTTTCTAAAAGCAATATATCTGAGGGATTGGGAAACTTATACCCCATCATAACAGTTTATTATCTGTAAATTCAAGTTAGAAATGGAATTCAATAAGATTTAAAAGTACATCTTTCTAATTCTGTTTAGTCAGTGTGTCTGCTTTATGTTTCTGGAATAGGCCTCATTCAAAGCGGTGTTGCACATATTTTGCACTGCTACTCAGTTGTTATCCCTAGATGTGTGTTGTGTCCTAAAATAAATCCTGACACATTGGTCCAGAAATAATAAAAGTTGAAAGACACTGACTAGGAATGTCTTACATGCCTCCTTGTCTTCATATTCTAGTAGAGCAAAAGGTACTGCATTTCCAAATTTATCTTCGTAATATGATGACTGCAAATGAAAGCACAAACTGAAGATTCTAACAAGTGTATGGATTGCCCAGAATTGACTTTTCTAGTTGTATATAATCCAAGGAGCTTATAATACCCATATGAAATATGTAGTTGAATTTGTACTTGGGGAGGAGCATGACGGGGCAGTTGATACATGGGAATGGCAGTGTCCTTTGTCCCTGACTTACTCTGCAAAAATAAGTCATGCTACTCAATAGGAAGGCTAAGGCTCACTTTCTGGAAACGCTTTTGTGTAGTATATGTTTCAAGTATACCATGAAATCAAGGAAGTGCTGAAAGGGTTTTTTCCCTCCTTCGAATTTTTGGCCACCACAAGGTGCTGCATCTAACTAGCTTTTCTTTCTGCTGGTTTTTCCAGGACATATCCTGTGCTGATTCAGGGAGATACTTCTATTGGGAAAACCAGTTTAATTCGCTGGTTGGCTTCTGCAAGTGGAAACCATTGTGTTCGGATTAACAATCATGAACACACTGACATCCAAGAATATATTGGCTGTTATACATCAGATGTATCTGGGAAGCTGATATTTAAGGAAGGTAGGTCTAGGATGAAGGTTACCCTATCTTGGTCATTCTTGTTTCATCAAGGCTCCCAGCCATATCCTCAAGTAATGCAAAGAATTTACAAAACTGTGATGCAAAACTACATGTGTAATCAGAAGGGCTGGTGACCTATCAAGTATTTAATGATAGGCCCAGTAACAACACATATTCATCATTTAGCCCTTACCTGTAACATGCTTCTGATTGCTAGTTTGTACCCTCGTTTTAAGCAGGTTTCTCTGGTGTCATTGTGTAGTGGGAAGTAGCTCATATTTATACTTGGATGGAAACCAGATTTGCTGCTCAGGAAACTTTTTTAATGTAAGTTATATATAAAGTCAACACGTAATTATTTTTCTTTACTAAACGCTTCAAAGGTGTCCTCATTGATGCTATGAGAAAGGGCTACTGGATAATCCTAGATGAACTGAACCTGGCACCCACTGATGTTTTGGAGGCACTGAATAGATTGTTAGATGACAACAGAGAGCTGTTTATAACAGAGACACAGGAAACTGTCAAAGCTCATCCAAGATTTATGTTATTTGCCACACAGAATCCTCCAGGGCTTTATGGTGGCAGAAAGGTCTGTAATCTCTTCTAATCATTCCTCATATGATGTCTGCTTTCTTCTGATGGTATATGCTGTTCCTCAAAGACTCATAGTGAGCTCATCTGAGTTTCAGCCTTCATCATCCACATACAAGGGAGTTGTCAGCAGGCTTAGGGGAGCCTCAAGGTTTAAAGACATACAATGCTTTAGAATAAAATACGAGGGGACATTCCTGCCAGCCCAGTGAGGACTGAGCATGGTTGGTGGCAATGGAATTCTGGTTGATGGGCAGGTGAATGTAATGGAGTGTCTTGTAAGAACAGCACTGACTAGGATCCTGAATGGGAGCATTCCACACTAAAGCATTCTTAATATCTTTAGGTATTGTCTAGAGCCTTCAGGAACAGATTTGTGGAGCTGCATTTTGATGAACTACCAAGTTCAGAACTGGAAACAATCTTAAACAAACGATGTCAGCTTCCACCTTCCTACTGCAGTAAACTTGTGAAAACCATGCTGGAATTGCAGGTACTGACATTACTGCATAAAAATATGGAAAAAGGAATGAACAAATTAAACAGACCAGTGAGCTGCATTGTGATCATGTCTTCAATCGGGATGTTTTTGCAGATAACTATGGACTTATACAAGTGTGCTGTTGATTTCTATGGAAAGTATATTTATATGTCCTTACTCTAGCCTGGCCAGCACACATTCTTGATAAGAGCAGCTTCTTCCATAATGAACTAGGATGGAAATTAGTGGTATATGATTATCTGAGCTCTACTAGTACCAGCTGGTGTTTAAATGATTGAGCATTAATATATAAATTACCATTACACAGAAAACCACCAAGTTATGGGGAAGGGTCTAGCCTAGCTTTCTACTTGATGATCCTTCTTTCTTTTTCATGGGGGAACATTCAGTCTTTAGCCATCTGGGGTGAAGAAGGCATTATGCATCTGGGATTGTGGCCCCCTACGTTCTGTGTGCCCTAGATTCTGACATTAGGCTTGATGCTGTGAGAAAGTTTATGCTTTTTTCCTTCACTCAGGGCAAGGTTTTTTCAGGTTTCCCCAGAGGACCATGCCTCTTTCCTTTTTCCCCAACCACTGATTGTTTGGTAGGTTCCTGGCTTTGTATAGCTTTTTACATTCTAAAAAGTTGAAGTGCCTTTTCTAAGGCTTAATCACTGGTATTAATCAGCCCTTTCAACTGAAATATCTGGTCAGGCAAATTATATAGAACATTGTGAGCTGCTCAGAGAGCCTTCAGGCTGTGGGGTAGCATATAAATGTAAGTAAGTAAGTAAGTAAGTAAGTAAGTAAGTAAGTAAGTAAGTAAGTAAATAAATAAATAAATAAAATTTGGGGCTATGCCTCTTTTGCCTTTCGTCGTCTTAATACAGTCTTATCGCAGAGGCTCATCAGTTTTTGCTGGCAAGCATGGTTTCGTTACTCTTCGAGATCTTTTTCGCTGGGCTGAAAGGTACAGATTAGCTGAACAGACAGACCAGAATTATGACTGGCTTCAACATTTAGCAAATGATGGTGAGAATTGCCTCTTCTTATACTGTCACTATACAGTTCAGTATCAAATGTTTTAGATATATTGCATTTCTGCTCTATAAGAAACATGGTAAGCATTCTGGGAACTGTTTACCTTTTTGTTCCTAGGATTTATGCTTCTGGCAGGAAGAGTGCGAAAGCAAGAAGAAGTGGATGTCATTCAAACAGTCATTGAAAAACACTTTAAGAAAAAATTGTATCCTCAATGTCTCTTCTCAGAAGAAAGTATAAGGAAGCAAATGGGTAAGTTTGCAACTTCTGCATTAAAATGTTTTATACTTGGCTAAAGCTAACTAATTTGCTGACTTCTGTGTTTTGTGTGAGTATGTCATTGTTGTTTCTCTCCACTTGTATCAGCTAAATCATCTACCTGGGTTTCTTTAATGGATGGTGAGTTCAGTCACGTTGTTTGGACTCAAGGGATGATGAGGCTTGCAGTTTTGGTGGGCCGAGCATTAGAGTTCGGTGAACCTGTTCTTCTGGTTGGAGAAACAGGGTAAGCTACTGTTATGTTTTTCTTTTTTTTTAGCATGGCTCACAGGTTCTGGGGCAAACAAACAGTAGCTAGACTTAGCTGACTATAATATTTATTACACAGGTGTGGTAAAACCACTATTTGTCAGATGTTTGCAGCTTTAGCAAGTCAGAAATTGCACAGTGTGAACTGCCACTTGCATATGGAGACCTCGGATTTCCTGGGTGGACTGCGGCCAGTCAGGCAGCGATCAAAGAGCAAGGTCAGTTGGCAATAAGATGCCTCACGCAGTTGAGACCTTAAAAATGTCACCATCTATAGACTAACCTTTTCTCTTTCTTCCAAATAGGAGGAGTTTGGCAATTCTAGACTGTTTGAGTGGCATGATGGAGCCCTTGTTTTAGCAATGAGAGAAGATGGGTTTTTTCTGATGGATGAGATTTCATTAGCTGATGATTCTGTTTTAGAAAGACTTAATAGGTATGCATCTTAACACTGGGCATGGGTTTTTTGGTTCTATGTCTATGTGGAATTCTCATCACAAATCCAAACTCTGCCTAAATTAGCTGCTTAAGCAGGTCAATCTTCTGATTTAAGCTATTGTAACTTTCATATTTGTTTTTAATTTGGTTATAAATTTTGTATGGTAACTTTTTATGGTGCTCTTATTTCTGTTTCCACTTTATATTGCATTTTTTGTGTTATGAATTGCCCAGAGAACTTCAGCTATTGGGAAGTATAGAAATTAAATGCATGCATGCATACCTATCAGAGTTATGTAACTTCCGAGTGCTAAGTTTATATGTTATAAATTCTGCAAAATTTATATGCTCGGAAGCTTAATAGGTGAAACATTGAGATTTAATTTTCTTCTAGTGTTCTTGAAACTGAAAAGACACTGGTGTTAGCAGAAAAAGGTGGTGAGGACAATGAAGTTGAATTGCTCACTGCCGGAAAGAAATTCCGTATTTTAGCTACAATGAATCCTGGTGGAGACTTTGGAAAGAAAGAGGTAATGTAAAGAGAATGTTGTTCTGTGTGTTGTTATTGCCATCAATGCCGCTATTCAAATGATGCTGTACTCTAAGAGCACACAGTTTGTCTGTGTTTTATCAGGCAGTTCAACTAGGCCAGGGATGGAGAACTTGTGGAATGCAGAGCCGGATAACCCTTCCCCCACCCTCCATAGCCAGATAATGTCAGTGGGTGGAGCCCCAGTGGCTGTCCCCATCCAGTCTCCAGTCAAAAGTGCTGGCTGGAGCCCTTCTTGGCCAGACCGTCAGACAGGGTCTTGGCCAGACAGCTACCCTGCACATGGGCTTCCTTTGGGCAAAGCCTGTGCATAGCAAACCTCCTAATCAAGGCACTGGGTGAAGGAGCAGTGCTCCATTCCATGCCTTAGTGGGGGTGACTTTGCCTTTCCACATGTTTGTTGGGGAGAATGTGAGGTGCATCAAGGGGCACTCCAGAACCCTTATTGGAGACGGTAGCAGGGGGATGCTCAAAGGGGCAGGGACTTGGGAATAGAGCTTGATGGAGGCGCCTCAATACTGATCTAGCCCAACTCTTAGAGGGCTTTTTCTAGATGCGACCGTGGCTTTCATTGTCAGAACTGACTAAACATGTTTCCTAGCAGTCATTGTTTCCTGTGCTTAATTCTCTCAAGCCCATAAAGTCTTAAAAACAAGAAGAAGAAAGATTTTTTAAAATGATCCTCTGAGTAATAGCTGTAAAAACTGACAATGACTATGGCTGTTTTCTTGTCTGCAGTTATCACCTGCCCTGCGTAACAGATTTACAGAAATATGGTGTCCACAAAGTAACAGTCGTGAGGATTTAATACAGATTGTAAGGCATAATCTTCACCCAGCACTCAGTCTGGCCCAAAGAAATGACAACGGTAAATTTCTAGGAAAAGTACTTTCATAAGTTCAGGACTTCTTTTTATTCCTTTCTAAGCTAGGAATAGTTTTACTCTGAAAGCTGAAAGCTGCTGTTTGGCTTTCTCCTCTACTATATCCAAAACAGGTACAGCACTGAAGGGGGCAGCAATATCTTTCACTTTTGCTACAGACTACTTTTATTAATCTTTCTCGTTACTCAGGCAAATAGTAAATCTGCACCAATACTGCTGGCTTGAGAGGCAACACTGAGCGAAAGTGTAGGAGCTGTTGCAAGCCACCATGAACTTGTCCTGAGTCAGGTACATAGGGAAATACTAATGAGAGGGAAGTCAGGAGTTGCTGGCCAAAAGATATGGAGGCTGACAAGTTGCGTACCCCTGACTTAGTGGAGCACTTTATGCAGGCCTGCCTAGAGCCTCCTCAGCCAGAGTATGTGGGAATGATGGAAAATCTCCAAGGAAGGGATGATGGCAGACCATGCCCCTTTGCCATATTTACTGTATGCTTGATCTGCTTGGAAGAAGACACTGTACCAAAGTTCAGTAATTACCATCTTTTCTTAGTGGAAATGGATTGTCACGTCTTAAAGACTGGTGAAGTTGCAGGGTCATAATTCATCTATTCCAGTTTGTGTTTGATAATCCTACACTGTTTTTAAAGCGTTCAGTTCTTTCCATTTCTCCAGACACCTAAATCTTGCAAATCATTTTGAGTTTTTAAATTTCTTTAGCCAAACCAATGCATCATTGTGAATTAACATGAAGTCTTCTGCTTATAAAGGTCTGTCTTTAAGAAGCACTTTACAAAACTAGTTACTATTGTATTTTGCGTGTGTGTGCATCACTTCTTCCCTGCCATACCCCCTCACCTAGGAATGGATATAGCCGAACTCATGATGGATTTCATAGAGTGGCTGGCTAATCAAGAATTTGGACACCAATGTATTCTGAGCATCCGGGATATTCTGTCATGGGTCAACTTCATGAATGCCATGGCACAAGATGGCTTGTCAAATGCCTCAGAAGAGCACTGCCCTATTCACATATCCCCTGTGACAATCTTTGTCCATGCTGCATGTCTGGTGTACATAGATGGGATCGGTTCAGGTAAATCTTCATACTTTTCATGGTAGAATAATTCAAAGCCTTCTCAGTACTTCAGTGCCTGTCAAAAGACAAGAGAATTTTAAAGCTGGTACGTCATTTGAGAGTGGAACAAGAACCGAGTTTTAAGATGAGTGTAAGGGACCTGTAGCTTTTGTGCTACAGAGCGAGCGGATTGTAAGTGAGGTTAATCAGACAGGTCCTGTCTTACTAATAACAGTACGTACTCTCCTGGCATTGAAATTGAACTAATATTTTATTTTATTTTCAACTTAGGAACAACATCCTGTTCAGCTGGCTCAGCCACTTTGGCTCGTGAAAAATGTCTGGAATATTTGCGTGAAAAACTTGCCCAAATTGTCTCACTCAGTGAGGATCAGAGAAATGAACTCAGAATTTACGACCTGGAAAGAGAGAGAGAAATGATCTGGATGGAGAATTGTGTAGGAATCCATCCCTTTTTTATACCAAGAGGCAAGGAGCTCTTTTTTGTTCTACAATTTGAAAGAATGCTAATGATAACTTAAGACATCTGAGAAATAAGATGTTACTATTCGAACATCCAGAAAAATAACATGGTATAGTCCTCCCAAGACTTATCCCTCTGCTGACAGCAGCTTAGGGACTGTACATTCTTTTTCCTGTGAAGCTAGAATGTTAGTGTGAAGGCATTTAGGGTTTGGTTTGGTTTGGTGTGAGGGTGCTTTAACAAAGGACCATTCAAATGTTTGTTTCACCAATCTGCAGTCTTAAGCTCTTTTGCTGGATATCATCATTTCTTCTATTTTTGATGCTCAGGTGTGCTGACCATTGCTTACATCTCCAAAACAGCAGCACACACAAGAAAGAGGTTTTGTCAGATCTGGGGAACCCCAAAGTTCGCAGAGGAACAAAATAGGGAAAAAAGCATAGGAAAAAGTAGTAGGAAAAAAACACAATACCAACCCAGTGTGGATTGATTGCATTCAGTGCTTATAGAATGCTGAATGACCAGGTAGGAGCAGGAGTGAAATGACATCTTGTGGAAGACAACTTACTGAAACACCAAGTAGGAGCACTTTACGCTGCAGCATTTTGTTTCGTGTTCCACTCCTCTGTCTCTTTATAAGAATTAAGAGTTTAGCCATTATGTTAGACTATAATCCTTCTGTCTGTCCTTCCTTCCTTCATTTGGCTGTGTGCACAGGTGGCATGCTTGCATGCACCAGTTGCTGAGGAGCTTGGACAGGCAGAGGTCTTGCATACATCCTGCTTGAGGATCCTGTGAGCAGCTGGTTTGCCACTGTGTGTGCAGAGTGCTGGACTAGATGGGCCTTTGGTCTGATCCAGCAGGGCTTTTCTTACGTTCTTAATGTTCTTTTAAAATAATAGCATGGCTTTTTCTATCCTGCAGGCCCTCTTTACCAGAAGAACAATGTCACGGAGTATGCTATAAATGCAGGCACCACAGCAATGAATGCACAACGGTTGTTACGGGCCTTGCAGCTCAGCAAGCCTGTTCTCCTGGAAGGTTCCCCAGGTGTTGGGAAGACCAGCCTAGTAGCAGCCTTGGCAAAGGCTTCAGGAAATTGCCTTGTACGGATCAATCTGTCTGAGCAAACGGTATGCAGGTTGCTGTAGTCCTAACTGGAATTTCTAAGCTTATGAATATATTAAGTTGTACCTGGAAAACCTCTAAGTGTTTAAATACTTCTCTTAAGTTTTGAGATGTTGCTAAACAAGGGAAGAGGACAATTAGAAGTAGGTTAGGTTAATAAAGTGTTACTGGATACTCTGGTGCCGTTGAATGGAGAAATGGTATATTCCTTTTTCTCTGCTGATTTGGATGAGTATGAAGGCTGGATTTTATTTTTCTTCTAGGCTCAGGTGAAACAGATCATGTGACTAAACCTCTGATACACCACTTTTTCAAGTGGAGCTCTCCCAGTTCCTTTTCTGCCTTGCTCAAAAGCCAGACTCCCCACCCCTTGCAAACTGTCTGCAAACTGGTCTATTTTTCAAAGTGTTCTATTTATTTTCTGCCTTTTCTGATTTATTTGATTTTTATTTGACCTTTTTATCAAGAAAAATGGCACTTGACTTATAATATTAAATAAAGCATCCTTTAAAATATAATATATAATATAATTGCACTTAAATAAACATTAAGTCATACTTAAAGACTCAACAATCACAAAATAAAAACAGCATCTAACCAACAAACTCACTTGCATGCAAAAGGCCTGTTTGCAAACCAGTCTTCCTTACATGCACAAAACAACTGATCAACCTTTGGAAGGCCAGTATTTATTTATTTATTAGATTTATATCCTGCTTTTTTCTTTTTTAAAGAACTCGGAGCAGCTTGCATCATTCTCCTCCTCCTGCTCTCAGTCTTATCCCACAATAGCAACCCTGTAACTGGCCCAGAACCACCCAGTTGGCTTCATGGCTGAGTGGATTCTAGAATCTTCTGAGTACCTGGCCTGCACTCCTAACCACTACACCACACTGGCTCACCGTGCCAAAATGTACCACCTCTTTTTGGTGAGTGTTGCTTTCTCCAGCCTGTGTCATCTGGATGTTGTGGTCTTCAATTCCCATCAGTCCTGGCCAGCAGGACTAATGATAAGGAATTCTGGGAATTGTACACAAAGAAGGAATCCAATTGGCGAAGACTTCCCTAATGGAACAACCACTCATCCCAGCCAGACTGCTTTTTCATATTCTAGTCTGGCTACCTTTCCACACACCAACAGAGAAAAGCACATCAATACTTACTGTGAAGGTTTCTTGTTATGTGGAGGATATTTGGTCACAGCCTTGCTTGCATTCAGTGGAGGTTCTTTCTCTAATTCTTCATGGACCATCCATAGACTTTCTATGCCAGGGTGCAGAACCTTCAGCCTGCACAAATTGTTGGGTTTCCCCCAGAAGGAGGCTCTTAGGCCTCTTGGGGAGCATCATTCCACTCTGATCCAAGACTGGCTACAGCAGTCATATTCTTGCGCTTGTCCAAGGAATCAAGTACAGCAAGCACTGGGACTTGCCCATGGCCGGGAAAGCAGCTGCTCTTCCCATTCCCATGTCTGGCATCCTTTCTGCTAACTTGGGTTTGAGATAGCAGGAATGAGGGATGGTGGGTACTTTTCCTGGAAGGCAAAATATATATATTTAAAAGTTTGGTCACATGATCTCTGTCCATTGAACTTAGCAGAAGGATTAAAGGCCAGAGTGGACACCCTTTGTAGGTCACTGGGAAGATTACCTCCAAATAAGTACTGGGATTTTTTTCTTTAGTATGATATTCAAAGTTATATGGTTGTAAACATTTGAAAATAATTTTTGCTGGAATGTGGGAACAGGTAGGAGACAAAAAGTGCATGTGTAAAATACACAGGATGAACTCCATCATGGTGGGCTGCTCAGAGTTCTCTTTAAAAAAAACTTTAATTTTTGTGTGTGGAATTCATTAACTTGTTGCACAGAAAGATGCCTACATGTAGGTCTTGCTACTCCTAAAGTGTGTTGCTAGGTTTTTACTTTTAAAGTATGGAACAAATAAGTGTTAACTGCTTCATGCGCATTTGGAAAACTTGGTTCTTTATGTTCTTACAAGGATGTCACAGATTTGTTTGGCACAGACTTGCCTGTTGAAGGTGGAAAAGGAGGGGAATTTGCCTGGCGTGATGGACCTTTACTTGCAGCATTGAAATCTGGGGACTGGATCTTACTAGATGAAGTGAGCATATCTTTTTTTTCTCTTTCTGACATATTTTTGTAGTCCAGTTGAATGAAATGGACCAGTTATAGTCATAAAACTGTCCACTTAGTTGTAAGAACCAAGCAGTAATTTTGGACATAAACTAAAGAAACTAAATTTGCAAAACTGTGTGTGTGTATACGCACACACAAACACACAAGCATTATCTAGAATACAGATAAAAATTTTGTGAACAAAAGAGACAATAAAACTTTTTTCTAATGCCCTCTCTCAAATAGCTCAACTTAGCTTCTCAGTCAGTACTAGAAGGCCTGAATGCCTGCTTTGATCATCGAGCAGAGATTTACGTCCCAGAGTTGGGGATGAACTTCCGTGTGCAACACAAGATGACAAAGATCTTTGGATGTCAGAATCCCTACAGGCAAGGAGGTGGCAGAAAGGGGCTCCCCAAGTCCTTTCTGAACAGATTCACGCAGGCAAGACTATAGTTTCGTTTAAAATAATACCTGTAGTCCTTTTGGTATTTTGACTAAGTTTCAAAGAAATTACATGTAGCCTGATACCCAAACCAGCTAAGCTTGGATACTTGATTCCATACAGAATAAATTCCACTGAAATAAGTTTGACTTTACTTTCAGTGTCTTGAGGAGCAGCTAAAAGTGCTTTTCACTCTAAAAATGCCACTGTCCAAGTAGAGTGGAATATTTAAAAAGCAGGAGTTATCATCCATCTTTGCCCATTACATTCAGCATGGCAAATGCATCATTGCCTTCTGGTGAGCTTTATGCATGAAAAGACTTCTTCAAAACTTTGCAGATATGAGTGGGAATTATCTTAGCAGTTTCCAGTCATGTGCTTGGAGAGGGAAGGGAAGGCTTATGTAGTTGTTGCCTGGGAGAGGGACTCTGTGCTCCCTCATTGAACATTAGCTGAACACCACAACTCCCAGATCATTCCTGTAGAATTTGGGGTGACTAATTCTGTAGTTCTTGCTCAGCAGAGAGGCTAAACCCTTTTGTTGAACATCAGCTGAAGTCAAAATGCTCTTTTCCTGCCTTTTCTTCAGGAAACATGTGGAGCAGGCAAAGATGGCTGTCTCCATCCATCTTGTGGGTGAAGCAGGGAGAGAGAAAGGGACCTGGTGACCACAATTTTTGGTGCTAATCCCTTGTTTTTAGTTGTATTGCAGATTAGAAAACCTAACATTGAGTGGTTGAATTGATGGTATATGCAGCTGTAGCCTTGGAATCTGCTTGTATAGCAATCTGCTGTTTTTATTGTCTGCTTTTTAATTATTAGTGTTGAAGATGTAATATCCCTCTGTAGGTAACAGAGAAAGGGAAAGAGAAGGACATTTGTGCAGGCTAGGAGGATTAGGGAAACGAGAACCTGTGGCATGGTGATGAGATTGGACAATGTAAGGTGCACTGGGCCCATGCAGGGTGGGACCAATAACACAAGCAAGACAGAGTGCTTTTTCTGTTATCCTTTTTCTGTTTACGCACTGGAATGCCTAAAATGCTGGTTGATGAAAAATATTTTTGACTTTTTCTCATTGTTGTGTTTGTAAATATTTGATCTTAGAAACTGGCTGTAGCTTTTATTAATGCTTAAAAGTGTTGTTGGCAAAACAATTTCTTCTCAAATACATACATTTCAGAAAGTATGAATATTTGATAGTGCTGGAGTAATAGATTTTTTGGGCTGCTTGCTGTAGTTGTGTGTACCTTGTGCATATTTAGATCAACATTTTTCTTTTCCCCCTCTGAATTGTACGATGGGATAGGTTTATGTGGACCCACTTTCAGCAGCAGATATGGAGTACATTGGGAACACACTGTTTCCTGCCATTGGTAAAAAGAATATTGCAAGGATGGTTGAATTCAACAACAAGGTAAATAGTAATACCTGAGTACATATTGATGTGAGCAGGTCATTTTACAAAGTGGACCTTGAGGTTTCAGATGACTCGTTCTCTGGAGATGCCATAGAACAGTACTGTGACAATTGTTGCTGTGTGGAAGCTTTGTAACATCCAGTAAATGACCATGTGTTAACACAAATAGAATGTACCATCCGTGGTAAATCTGTGATTGCATTGACAGGTGAATTTGCCCCATCCTTTAGTTAGGCTCCACAGATGACCACATTGCTTAATAGATGCCCTCGAAGAACTGTCAAACAAGAAGAATACTGGGCAACTGTTAGTGAAACAATGTAGGCAAGGAAGAAGACAGTGGAGAATTGGAAACATTCAGTCGGAATCTTGCCTTCTTGTAAGGAAGAG